TCTTTCTGATGACGAATGGGAGTTGACAACTCCCCTAATAGGATTAGGTTCATTAAGGGGCTACTTTCTCCTCTCAATCTGCCCCCAGAGAGCTTCAGGTTTTTACCCTGCTTATTCCTGAGTTAACCGTGAATTTCGGGCTTTCATTTACAGTGGGCGCTGCTGATTGATGCCTGTAAATAGTCAGACTTTGGAACCACCTCAATCTGCAAAATAAACCCGCTCCTGAAATTCCTGCTGATGTTCAGGTGAGAGCTGAGCACTGCAAAACCTCCCAGCAGGCCCCTCCCGGACGTGGAAATCATCGACGGGGACGATGGAAAACCCACGTCCCGCCTCCGAAACGACCCGTCGATAATTTACCCCCGGGGCCCCGCTAATTCAAATGCCGCTGTTTAGAGCTTTAAGGCCCCGGCAATCCAATCAACCGCTTGCAAATCTCGGGCTTAATTATTTATTTATTTATTTATTTATTTATTTTGGGGGCGTAATTAATCTTCCTGTAATTAAACCTCCACCCCCCCTCGAGTGGAGGGCGGGTGGGGATGCAATTTACCCCGTTTCAGCTGTCACCTGAGGCGCCGGGAGGGGACAGAGAGTCTAAACCCCCCGCTTGGGTCGAGCCCCACGTGGGGTTTTTTTTGGGTAAATCGACGTAAATTGATTTTTTTCGCCGCGTCGATGGGTCGGTAAATTGTCGGCGGGTGGGGAAGCGCCTCACCTTGGGCAGCCGGTACTTCTCTCGCAGGTGAACCCTCAGGCAGGCCCGCTCTGCTTTCTTCTGGGCGAAGGCCGCGTCTCTTTCCATCCTGCAAACCGCATCGACACTCATCGACACTCATCGACACTCATCGACACTCATCGACACTCATCGACACTCATCTGTTCCCCCAGGGTTTGCCCAAAAAATAAGGCACAAAAAAAGAGCAATAAATCGCCCTCCAGCCCTGTAAATTAAGGAATTCTCAGCCTGCAGTTTACAGTCGATTGTAAGAACGAACGGTTTCCATCAGCAGGGTGGGAAAATTGCATTTATTCCTTCCGGAAATGTGACACTCGGGGTGCTGACACCACCAGGAAGGGCAGGGGGGTCTTCCTGGGTCAGGATAAAATCAGGAGGGGCCACTGAGAGAAACTTTCCGGGGCCGAAAGTGGCCAATTCCCCAAACAATGGATTTGGGAATCGCTCGTAAATTGTCGATTGAATCGGGGATTGATTTGCAAGGAAAGATTTGGGATAACGTTCCCCTTTCCACCTCTGCCTGCAATTAATTTCCCCCCCCCTCAGTAACATTTTCCTGGGAGTTCTGTTGGAAAATCGATCTTGTTTCGGTGTGTGTGGGGGGGGTAAATTAGTCCCATCAGAACCATTCACAAGCCACCCCAAAGTGACTTTTCCTCTGCTCCCAAAAATGACAATCGACACCCCTTCCTTCAGAGGGTTGACGACTGATGGCTAAAAACAGAGCTGGCCACCTCCAGTTCCATCGGTCATTAACCTCTAATCATCTTACGGGGAGGGATTTCCATTTACACAACCATTATGCAATTGACCGGCGGGGGAGCTGATGAATCCCAGCTTTAACAAGCAGCTTGTTTTATTTATAATCGCACCTCGTCCCAACTCCTGCAAGTCCCGCCAGTTATTTCCCTTTTTATGTTTCAAACAGCAACGATTAAATTTCCACCCCCAACTGATGGGCGATTAATTCTCCTTCCTTTTGCTGATTGCAAGGTGAAATGACCGCATCGAAACCCTGCCCTGGAGACACATCCCCCACCCATCTCACGGCTCATCATCAGCCTGGCTTTTTTATCCCCCAGCACGGTAAATGCAGAGAAAGAAACGTAAATTATCGACCGTCTCTGGAGTTGGCAGGAGGAGGAATCAGCTGCCTTTTGGAGGATCAGTTCAGATATTTTGGGGAATTTTGGAATATTTCGGAGAATTATTTCATGTTTTTGGGGGAATTTCCTCCTCGGGGTGACAATTCCTGCTGATAAAGCAGCGGAAAGGAAAGAACAATTTACCGCAATTTACCGCCCCCATCGTTGTTATTTCCTCCCTTTTTTTTTATCACCGGTTTAAAATAAATTAAATTAAAAGCAAAACCAGGGGAAGGGCTGAATTTTGGAGGTGATTTTCAATCAATCGCCCCAAAGATCAGTCGGTACTCACTTCTCCTCCACCATCTGCTTCTGATACTCCTCGTACTCCTCGCGGGTCATCCCCGCGGCCGCCGCCGGGTCGGAAGGAGCCGAATCTTCTTTGCTTTCATCTCCTCCTCCCCCCAGCCCCAAATTCTTCACCTGGTTGCTCAGCATGCTTTTCATCAGAAAGGCCATTTTTTAATCTCCCCCCCTCAATCGACTCCAAACGGAGAGGAGAAGGGAGGAAGGAGTGTCAGTCGGGAGGGAAGAGCGGTAAATGCCACCGGCCATAATCTGGATTAAAGAGTCAGCTCCCTTAATATCTGCGGGCAGATGGTTCTGATTATTCCTCCCCCCACCGACACAAATCATCAGGCTGATACATTTCTTTGGCTATTGATAAACAGCTTATTTTGCTAATTTTACAACCAGAAATCGATCAGAGCCTGCGATGAACGTGACATCAGCAGCCTCCAAACAGGGAGAGCAGATCAGCGGTCCAAATTCCAGGGGGAAATCGACACGCTGGGTGTCGATAGTTCTGTCTTTATTCTGTATTTAAGCTGATTTATTTTATTAATTTCATCCCCAGTCTGATAATTTTGACCCCTCAGGGTTTCACCCCAGTGAGTAAAATGGACATGGAATAATTTCCCCCAAACAGGGTTAATTATTGATTAATTTATCGGCACTTCCATCAGTCCCTGAGAAGCGGGCGATGGATTTGCAGATAGATGGTTTGAAGGCTTTAATCTACCATTTACAGCCTTTCTAATTAGAGCAGGCTATTAAAAACCCAACCCAACCAACCAACCCCCCAAAAAAAAGGTAAAAAATGTGGGCTGGGTTTTACTGATTGTTGGCGATTAAAGAAGAAATTTCTTGTCCTGGGGGGAAAAAAAAATGGAAATTAAAGAATCCTAAAAACAACAACAACAACAAAACTTACTAAAAATATGCATCTTTATTCAAATAAGGTCCTATCCGAACTCCTCGAGGGTCAGCTGACACCAGGCAGGAGACAGAGGGGTGGAAACATCAGCTGGTGGAACGGAGAGTAAAAACCAACCCCCGGTAAATCGAACAATTTACAAACCACGGCGGGGGCGACAACAAACGGGGCGATTCCCAACCCCCCTGCTTGTTGGTGGGCATTTTTTGGGAAGAGATCCAGCCGCGTCTGATCCGCCCCGAGCGGCGTAGATCGTCTCAGAATCATCAGCCGCTCCTCATCTGTAATTTACACCTGCTGGTTCCACCTGTCCCCCCGCCAGGTGAGTCCCAGCTGCCTTCTCCTCCCGGCTGGGACATCCTGGATCAACAACCAGCCACGTTTCCCACTCAGGAAGTGGGTTGAGCGGGGGAGGGGGAGGGGTTGGAAGGGCTCAAGGCACCTGTAGATTGTTTAGAAATTGTTGCTGGTGTGGAAAGAACCCCGAGGGACGAACTGTGGGCTTTGATCCTGAAGGGGGTTTGTTTTATCTCTTATTTTCCCTTCAGACCAGCCTGAGGCAGCAGTTGCTCCAATCAGCACGGCCCAAACCTTCTCCAATTTACCAATTTACCGGCGAAGCTCCACCACCCCTGTCCTGTCAATTGACGTGCAGGTGGCACAACCCACCCCCCCCCCAAAAAACAAATAGGCATTGCATAGATCATAAATTACAAATTAAAACGACAAATAAAAATGGATTGGAAACTCAGAGAGGAGAAATCAATTTACCCCCCAATTTACAAAGTTGGAATTAATCGACACGAATCTTCTCATCCGTTGAAATGGGAAAAATTGGTAAATAATAAATTTTTGGGGGAGATAAATAGGAGGGGGTTTTGCTTTCTTTTCCCCCTCCCTTATTTTTTGTGTTCTTTTTAATTTTCTGCCCCGAATCATCCACCCGCGAGCAATCGACCGACAATCCGCAACCCCCTTCTCCTCCTCCAAAACAACAAGCAGAGGCTGGAGGGAGGAGGAAGCTGCCTGAGGACACAGAGCCAGTTTCCCACCCCCTCCCCCTCCCCAAAACATCGGAGCTCCGGCCGTCAGCAACTCCGATAATTGACAATTTACAATCGACAATCGACGGGCGCTGCGATTCCCCTCATCGACACCGCGAGGGCGGGGCTCTCCGGCGCGCTCGGGAGGGACATCAGAAGAACTTCTTGGCTGCTGCTTCTTGTTGGCTCCTGGGAGACACACAGACCGAAAGCGCAGGTGAGAAGGATGGGTAGATGGTTTGTAGGGTGGGTAGATGGTTTGTAGGGTGGGTAGATGGTTTGTAGGGTGGGTAGATGGTTTGTAGGATGGGTAAATGGTTTGTAGGGTGGGTAAGTGGCTTGTAGGATGGGTAAATGGTTTGTAGGGTGGGTAAATG